TCTATCATGTAAGTGCTATTGTACCCATTTTAGTATCTAGGAAACTGATAATCAGAAGGGGTCAATAGTTTGTCTAAAGTCAGATAATTGGAAAGTGGCAGAAGAGGATCTTGGATCAAATTCTTGGTCTCTAGAGTCACCTTTTCTTATACTGTTACATATCTATGCAAATGCCTAGAGGTTGAAGAGATTAGCTTTTGGTACCAAAATTCAAGAGGCTCCTCATTAGAGTGTGTCATGGTGATGAGAAGTTTAGGGGAAGCTTAATGCAGTGTATGGGTGGTACTCATTGTGTGTTTGTATGTATTCGTGTGTGCATGCATGTGTGTTTACATTTGTGAGAATCAGGGCATAGTCAGACCGTGAAAGTTGTCTGGGACATGGGCTAGAATTCAGGAATGGGATGGGCTCCCTCTTTACTTACTCTTTCCCCATCGCTGACATTAGGCATGCTGACAGTGTTGGCAGAACTGAGGCAGATTTCAGTCTTCACTATGCCTCCAGAGGTGTTGGCAAACTCTATTTTCTTCTAAATATTTATTAGTGAATGAGTGAGTGAGTGAGTGAGTGAGTGAGAGAGAGAGAGAGAGAAACCAAGCAGGGGAGGAGCAGAGAGAGAGGGAGACACAGAATCTGAAGCAGGCTCCAGGCTCCAAGCTAGCAGCACAGAGCCCAGTGTGGGGCTCAAACTCCAGCTGTGAGATCATGACCTCAGGGGAAGTCAGACAACTAACAGAGCCCCCCAGGTGCCCCAAGGGATATGCTTTGAAAGAGCAGAAAGAATGGATCAGAGAGACACTGATATAGGTTAGTAGAAGCCAGGATTCCACAGGGAATCATTAAACATCCTCCAAATTCATCTCATCCCAGCACATTTCAAATGAAGAAAGGAAAATATATTAGGGCTTTAGAAATACACAGAATATACATAAACTATATGTATTTTGGATGAATATTTTTGGATGACACATTAATGTTATAAAGAGGTTAAGTCTTCCAAAATGAACTTACAAATATAGTCCAGTGTGAATCAAAAGTGTTTGGTAGGAGAAGGACTTCTGGTTATGGTTGTAAGAGGTCAGTGGGTAATGCCAACTAAATAAATAAGTAAACAAACAAACAAGCTATAATATTCAAAAGCATTTCAGGGCACAATAAATTGAGCATAAGCAGTAGAAAAAAAGAAAGAAAATGTTTGTTCTTGAAAAATCACAGAGACTTTGAGTCAGAACAGTGTGTGTGTGTGTGTGTGTGTGTGTGTGTGTGTGTGTGTGTGTATGTGTGGCCTTTTGAATGAAGCTACTCTTATCTATCTGACCCACACTCCACCCAATGTCTGCCCTCCCCCAAGTTTGGTTGGTGAGAATAGCAATTTTACCAGTATGTAGTTTACCATAAAACCCAGAAACTTTACTTTCAATAGAGTGGGCTAAAATTTGGAGGTGGAAAACAAAAATACATGTTTTTTCTAGTTAAAAAAATAGATTTGGAACAAACAGTAAAAACCTGTATCTTTGCTGTCCTAATGTTGTAGGCCCTGTTGAAGAGAGTAGCAAGCAGATCAGCCAGCTATTTTTAATAGGGAGATTCTAGAAATGAAAACACCATGGTAAATCTGATATAATGTCTCCACACATCAGGCCAAGTAGAAAACTATGCATGCACAAGAAAGAACCAAGTAATGGCAGTAAAAAGTGAAGGTCAAGGGAGATATGAAAAGTGGCTGCAACTTTGACTATATCCCCCAACCCATACACAGTTCACTTGGCAGAGTGTGGAAACCTTATGGGGTTACAGGTCATTGAGCACAATCTTTGCCAAAGTTATTTGCTGATCACATATGCAGACACATAGGTAACCCTTAGGAACACTGGTTATACAGTAAAAGACTTTTTTGGTAAAAGTAACTGAGCAGAGACATCAGTGGTTACATACTATGGGAGTGATAGATTTCACAGTTAAGTCTAGGCAGTTACTAAAATAAAACCAAAATCTTCAGGAAAATAAAGTGTATTCAAGTGTGTCTATAATATAATGTACTTTAAAATGTCTATTTTCAGCAACAACAATATTAGTGTGCAAAAAAATAGGAAAGTGTGACCCATACTCTAGGGGAAAAAAGTTAATAGAAACTGAATTAAAGGAAGATATGTAAAATATATATGTATGGTATATATTATATACATATATATATACATATATATACACATATATATACATATATATACCATACATATATGATATATGATATATGAAATCATATATGTATGATACATATGACAATGACTTGATGAATAGGAAAGCTTAATAGGAAAATAGAAACTATAAGAAAGAATAATGTGGAAAATAGAGAGTTGAAAACAAAAACAACCAGAATGGAAAGTGTAGTAGTAGATGAACTCAACAGGAAGTTTTAGATGTCATAACAAATAGTCAGTGAATTTGAAAATAGAACACTAGAGAATTTCCCACCCAGAAAATACAGAGAAACAATTGAAAGAAAATGAAGAGAATCTTAGAAACTTGTCAGATAGTCATAAGCATCCCAATATACATATGAAAGAAGACACAGCATGAGAAAAGTAATTAAATGGTGCTGGAAAAAACTGAAGAAAAGATGGGTGAAACTTAAATTTTTAATTAAAAAAATTAACCTATCCAAGAAGCTGGAAGAATATCTAGTAGGAAAAACACAAAGACACCTACTTCTAGACAAATTACAGCTATGGGTACTAAAAGACAAACATAAAGAAAACATTATTAACCTATGTTTCCATATCAAGGAATTACAAAAAGAAAAATCAAATTCAAGGGAGAATAAGGAAATAATGAAGATCAGAACATAAGTAAATGAAATAGAAACCAAAAAGTTTAAAGAAAATGAGTGGAAACAAAAGTCGTTTCCATAGAAAGATCACTAAAAAGAGTAATTTTTATCTAGTTAGACCAAGGGGAGGGGGGAAGAATGTACAAATTATCATCCGAACTAAACTGTATCCCAATTAAAAGATTTGCAGCAAAAGTTATAAACAGCTTAGTCGCAGCATGTTACATAACGTAAATGAAATAGATTCCTAGAAAGACACAAGTTAGCCAAATTAATTTTTAAAAATAGAAAAATTGAGGGGCGCCTGGGTGGCGCAGTCGGTTAAGCGTCCGACTTCAGCCAGGTCATGATCTCGCGGTCCGTGAGTTCCAGCCCCGCGTCGGGCTCTGGGCTGATGGCTCAGAGCCTGGAGCCTGTTTCCGATTCTGTGTCTCCCTTTCTCTCTGCCCCTCCCCTGTTCATGCTCTGTCTCTCTCTGTCCCAAAAATAAATAAACGTTGAAAAAAAAATTTTTTAATAAAAAAAAATAATAAAAAAATAGAAAAATCGAATAGACTTCTGTCAAGCAAAGTTAGAGAATGTTTATTATAAGTCTGAATTAAAAGAAAAAAAAAAAAACACCAAGCCAAATGACTTCATTGGTGAATTTTGTCAAAGTAATTGGAAGTATTAATACGAATCCTGTGCAAACTTCTTCAGAATTAGAGCAGAAGGGACAATTTCCTAACTCACTTATGAGACCAATATTAGTCTAATAAAATAATTCACAAGAAAGTGACATCATATATATGCCCTCAACATTGATGCAGAAATTTTCAGAAAATATTAGCAAACTACATCAACAGCATTAAAAAAACCAAACCAAAACAAAACAAAACAAAAAACTATTCATCATGACCCAAGTGTGATTTATGTCAGGAATACAAGCTTGTTGTTTTTTTTTTTTTTTTTTTTCCGAATACCTGAAAATAAATTAACAAGATATACTATATTGGTGAAATGAAGATTAGAAGCCATATGATTATAATAGATATTGAGAAAGCATTTAATAAAATTCACCATTCCTTCATGGTAAAAACTCAACAAAACATGAATAGAAGGAAATGGTTGAAAGAACAATATCCATAGGTCTCTGTGTTTTAGCAGCAGCTATCAATGTGAGTTAAAATAGTTTGTCTTTGATTCAAAAGTCTCATGCTTTCTGCCAGTATCAATTAACTTGTGGCAGGCTAATTTATTAGCTTGAAAACTTGCTAAAATCTTAGACCCTTTGCAATTCTTTAAGGGTATTTTCTCAATCTGTTAAAGTATGTCTAACATTAACCTACAAATAACATCATGCTTCCTGTTGAAAGACTTAATTCTTTTCACTAAGATCATCCAATGACCCAAAGCTATCCATTATGGCCACTTCTACTTGGTACTGTCCCTGAGGTTGTAGTCAGTACAGTAAGCAATGGGGGAAAAGAGGCATCAAGATTAGAAAGGAAGAAGCAAAACTTTGGTTATTTCAAGATAATTTAATTTCTGTGTAGAATGGCCTACAGATTTAAGCCAGGGGGTGGTAGAGGGTTAGGAGCTACTAGAACTAATAAATACATTTAGAAAAGTTTAAAGATCTAAGACCAATACACACATACACACAAAAAATAAAATAAATTGTGTGATTACATACTAGTAATAAGAAATTGGAAATTGAACATATGAAAATAATACCATTTAGAATAGCATCAAAAATATGAAGTACTATAGGACGCATGTGAGGAAAAGACCAGACAAATGCTGATTCAAGAGGGTCTAAATAAGTGAAGTGTTGTGCCATGCCAATCAATCAAAAGTTTCAATGTATTTAGATGTCAAATCTCCAAATTGATACATAGATGTAAGGCAATTCCAATCACAGTATCAGAAGGCTATTTTGAAGGTTGACAAGCTGATTCATAATTTTTGTTGAAATGGAAAAGACATATAATAGAACAACTTTGAAATAGAACAGTAAATTTCAAGGACTCCTATTATTTAATCTCAAATCTTTCTATAGAGCTGAAATAATCAAGGATAGTGTTGGTGTAAAGACAAATTAATCAGTGAAACAAAAGAGAAAATCCAGAATTCCCAGTCTCCTTTTATTTTATGGTCTTGACAATTTTTCCATGTTCTTATATCCACAGCTAAGATTTATGTGAAAGGATATACAGCAAAATCAGTGAAGGGAAGAAGTGCATGGAGTAAAATCCAGAGGAATCCAGGCAGAGTCTTCCAAGAGTCCTCTTCCACTAGAGTCACACAGGATACACACAGTTCCTCAGGTATTTTGTAGAACTTTCAGTTGATATTTCTTCATGGCTGGACTGTATTTATGGGATTTGGGGAATAATACCAAAGAGATAAGTACCTTCTCATCGCATCATATCAGTGCGTATATCATAATGACATAACCATATGTTTTCTTCAGCGAAGTGTTTGAATTGACATTTTTAATATATTTACTCCTTCTATCAAAGAATGTGCTAAATCTTGTCAATTATGCTAATATTATTTTCGATCTCTCCATAGCATTTGGAATATTTTTGATTTTGAGAATTTCCTCATATAAATAGAACAGATGTTTTAATAAGTTTATTCCTGTGTAATTTATTTTTATTACTTTTTCATACCATTTAATCTGTTAACAGACTATTATATGTCTAAAGAAAGAACACTAATTTTTGCATATTTATTCTTTATTCTGCTACTGGATTATCTTATAGCTTATAATCATTTTAATTGATTATTTCTAATATTACAAATATACATACAGTAAATAGGTTATAGCATTACCACATGATGAAATATTATATTTCTTTAAAATTTTTTTGAATAGTATGATTATGTATAAATAAACTGTTAATATGAAGTAAAGCAAAACAGAAAATGATGGGTTTCAAGTAGGGTTAAATTTACTTGGGGTGTTTACCAACAATGTAGACTACTGTCCTCACCATCCCAAAGCTACTGAGTAAAAAACTCAGAGGGACAAGACCCCGAATCCTGCATTATTAATAAAACTTCTGGTGATTCTGATATGCATAGACAATTCATAATAAAATATGATTTAAATATAATAGGACATATATAAAAAAGAATTTTTGTATAGTAGTGAATTCAATAATGATTTTCTACAAACTCAGTGTCTGATCTTCATGCTATCTCTCAATTTAAAATAAGATTTGACAGGATCCCGTCAATAGTGTAAGGAATTAATCAAATAAATTATTTCTACTTCATTTTTAGCAGGAAATTAAAAGGTCTTTTAAATCTTTATTTTAAAAAGCTGAATAGAGCTGTGGTGTTTTGGAACATTTTTTAAATCCTTGTGGTTTTGAGAAAGGCACTGGCCCTGCGGAAATAGGGCCGTATTGCTGGCTTAGAGGAATCAATAATAACGCACCTGAAAAAAATCAGGATTATTTAAATGATGTGGGAGATCCAGTGCAAAAGGCAAATATGACTCCTTTTGTACAAAAATCATGAAGAATTTTAAGACCACAGAGCATTAAACCAAGTACAGGATTCTTCCAAGCATAGATTCCTTTGTGACTCTCCAGGTTGCATACTTGTAAAGCTGGCTCTGCACTTAATATTCTAAAAGCAAGTTACAACTTAAAAAAAATTATAGTCTCAGCTTTTGTAGTCACAGCTTACTCACTATCATTTATTTTTTGAAACCATTATGCACCGAGTTCTGAACAAGATTGCAAATGGTAAGTCCTTACAACAGATATTCATTTTTCAAACATTCTTCCCTCAGGTGACCTAAATTACTGTATTTCTTTTTCAAATATAAAACATTTCTTGCATAGTGATTTAAACTCATCCCATGGAAATTTTATTGCTTCTCTAAATAATCTTCAGAAATATTTTAATGTATCTATATAGCAAAATCATGAAATAAACAAATGCACATGAGGGTGATGATAAATGTATATTTTAGACTGTTTGGAAAGAGAAAAGTCATTTTTAGTCCATTGGTACTGCTTTAAAAAAAATTCAGTTTTTCTAGGAGACAAAGACTATTTTATTGTCTCAAGAATATTCATCCTAAGGGGCGCCTGGGTGGCTCAGTTGGTTGAGCGTCCGACTTCGGCTGGGGTTATGATCTCACGGTCTGTGAGTTCTAGCCCCGTGTGGGGCTCTGTGCCAACAGCTCAGATCCTGGAGCCTGTTTCCGATCCTGTGTCTCCCTCTCTCTGACCCTTCCCCATTCATGCTCTGTGTCTCTCTGTCTCAAAAAAAATAAATAAACGTTAAAAAAATTAAAAAAAAAAGAATATTCATCCTAAGAGGTTAAAAGGTTTGAACCTTAGAACAATTTTAACTCTCTCAAGTTCCCTTCACTATAGGATTCCTTCCAGTGGAGAGAGAAATTATTTCTTATTCACTATAATGTCATTAGTGAAGCTTTTTCATGTTAACTCTTTTACCACTAGTATTAAATCCTGGTGTCTTTTGAGTAATAGGGGAAAGGCTTTTTTAAATCTTAGAGTTAGGTCCTTTTGTAGTTCTTCTGAATTTTGTGTCTTCAGAAAATTAGATAATGAGGCCTGGTTCACAAAAACTATACTCTCTCACACCCCCCACCCCCGCTCCCATGCACATTCAGTGTGAGACTAATATAGTTTGGTTTTTAACTATAATGGACATTATCATATCTGTGAATATTCAATAACACTTTCATTTCATGGAAATGTGTGAGGGAGTAATTTATATTGTCTTAAGTCACATCTCTAAACCCTCACTGTTCACAAAATCCCTGTGGTCTTGGGGCAGTGTATTATAGCCCATTCTGGCTCTCCCTTAAAGATTTAATTCAGCAATAGGAGTATCCTTTGTGGGTTTGTTATTCTTTCTTTTGTTTTTCATTGAACGTAGTGAAAAATGAAGACATATACTGAACAAAAGTAATTTGTAAAATTGAATTCTACAATCATGCCATTTGTCTACATAGAGAACTCATGTTTATGTTATTAAATGTAGTAGTATTAAAACATCCCTGTAGTCATTCTATGAAATGAGTATCATTCCCATTATACTGAAGAGGAAACAGCCTCAGAGAGCACAACAGGACCTTAGGTAAAGCAGGAGTACTTTCCTTGAACCTCGTTCTTCAGCCTCCAAATTCCAGGATTATTCCCCACCTACCAGCAGTTCAGCATATAGAAGAGTATATAATGTTTCCTCTTCACTACAGTTTTCCCAATATCTCCATGTATTTAGGTAGTTCTATCACAGCTCCTCATTTTCACATTTCTCCCCAAAGAGGAACTGGATAGTTTACCTTAGTTATGTTTGATCTAATGATCTTGCTGTTTAATTATGCCCATTAACTTTTCTTACTACATTCGAAACCCAAGTCACACTTTACTTCTAGAATTATTCTCTAACTCCAAACTACATGCCGTTCTTTTAACATGAAAGAACATGATTTGTATTAAGTGATGGGGTGGCTATCAGTTGTGTTGAAGAGGAAATGACTTTAGAAGCAAAGCAATTGGATTTATGACTTACAAATGGTGTGATGTTTTATAAGAGATACTATACTTCAGTTTTCTTAACCATTAATGGAGCTAATGCTTACCACATAGTTTTGTGAAGATTGAATAAAAAATGATGTCTAAAATGTTAAATAGTAATTGGGACATAGCGAGTCATTAGAAATATTATTTTCTTTTTAATTTTTTTTGTTGTTGTACATCGATGAAGTCTTACTAGCTAATATCAACACGGTACATTCACAGCACCTGCTATCTTAATCTAGCACTTTAACAACTGATGCTCGTCCAACGGATGTTTTAAATGATTATTGCCAATACCACGAGGTCCTGCAGTGTATTTTAAATGAAAGGAAAACTCCCACGTGTGTTGTGCAACAACCTCTTCTAAAACTTCATGTAAAGCAATGTCAGCCTTGTGGTCAAAGAACAACAGGCATATTTTGTTGGGCTTTGACAGTGTTTGAAAAATTTTTTAAATCAGTGATCAACACTTAAAAATTAGGATATTTCTGATTTATCTTACTTAAATCATCTGAAAAATTTGAAATACGGATGCTGACCCCCTTTTGGGCAAAAAAACAGCCAGAATTCCTATGTAGCTGATCCACCTGTTTGGGACATGTCTTCTCCATGTCTCTGTGTTGCCACTTCTGCCTATTTTCCTGTACTCAGACGTGTTCATTCAGTTACTTGCTAAGTAATTAATTCTTCCCTCTGAGTCCATACTAGCAGAATTGTTAACATTCATATGCCTGATTGTAGTCTCCATGCTGCATTATAGATTGTTTTCTATCATGCTCTTAAATATCCTTTCAGCCTCTTTTATCTGTCCGATACCAAAGCCACTTTCACACTGTTAAGGGTTTGTTACGGTGGCACTCTACTCGCAGATACCAAAGTCTGCATTATTTTCCTGTTGCTGTTGTAACAAATTACCACAATTTTAGTGGCTTGAAACTACACAAATTTATTATCTTTTGATTCTAGACATCAGAAATCTGATAAATTTCACTAGGCTAAAATCATGTCAAATGAATTGCATTCCTTCGGTGGCCTCTAGTGGAAAATCCATTTCCTTTCATTTTCCAGCCTCTACAACCTTCCCTTATTCTTTGGATCATTGCCCTCTTCATGGAATCAAATTATTTCAACCTCTGTTTCCTTTATCATATTGTCTATGACTCTTATCCTTCTGCCTCCCTCTCAAAAGGATCCAAGATATGGGGCGCCTGGGTGGCTCAGTCGGTTAAGCGTCCGACTTCAGCTCAGGTCACGATCTTGTGGTCCGTGAGTTCGAGCCCCGCGTGGGGCTCTGGGCTGATGGCTCAGAGCCTGGAGCCTGCTTCTGATTCTGTGTCTCCCTCTCTCTCTGCCCCTCCCCAGTTCATGCTCTGTCTCTCTCTGTCTCAAAAATAAATAAACGTTAAAAAAAAAATTAAAAAAAAACAAAAAAACAAAAGGATCCAGGATAATCATCCCATCTCAAAACTCTTAATACAGTCACATCCCTTTTGCTATATAAGGTAACATATTCACAGGTTCTGGGGATTCATGTGTGTACCTCTTTGGGGTTTATTATTCTGCCTGCTATACTTTTTAAAAAGTGATTCAACCCTCAGTGCCTTACTGTTCATGGTAAGAGTCATATGCCCCTTCAAGAAGGCAAAGTGTGGTGGCCTACCCTTAAAACTGTATTGGTCACACAGACTGGGACTCCTTTTTGGAAAGCCTCTTCCTTCTGTGGCCCAACAATTTAGGGTTCGGCTCTTTGGGTA